CGCTCTAATTTTTATGACCGGCATTTTCATGACCCGGAGATATCCGGGTTTGTTTGGAAAGCTGCTCGAATAGTTATCTAAAATTTCGTGTTATTGCTAGGCGCAGTTTATCTTTCCGGGCGCCGATATAGTTTTCGTTTGTTCTTCTATCGTCTGGAGTTTTAAGTTTCCAAACGATAGGAGACCTGTTTGAATTATTTATTATTATTGACCAAAAAAAAAGGGTTGCTATGCGCTGGCGCGTCGCGTCGCAGGAAAAAAGGGGACCGTGGAGTCTCCAGGACGTAACAATTAGCAAGAAGTAGTCGCAAAATAAAAAAAAAGTGTATAAAATGTTCCGGTTTTTAAATATTTGATCATTTCGAGACTTTTAGAACACACCTCGGGAAAAAATGGATTAAATCTAATATAAATCTCGTGGATAAAAAAATGAAAAAAAGGATCTAATTAGATCTAAATTAAATCTAAATAGATATATAAAGTAGATCTAAATAGATTTAAGTAAATTTATGTACATTGACACTTTATGTAGTCTTAGATCTACTTTAGATTTACTCAGATCTAGTATATTAGATATACGCAGATCTACTTAGATCTAAGCAAATCAGAACAGATCTGAAGTGATCTAATATAGTAGATCTGAGTAGATATGAAGTAGATCTAAGAATAAATAAAGTGTCAATTTACATAGATCTATTTAGATATCTCTATCTATATCTATCTATATCTATTTAGATCTATTTATATCTATTTAGATCTATTTTATATCTATTTAGATCTATTTTATATCTATTTAGATCTATTTTATACCTATTTAGATCTATTTTTTCATTTTTTTATCTCGTTAGATTTAAATTATTTCTAATCCATTTTTTCCCGGGACTTTATATCTTGCACAAACAGCTATATGGCTAAAAAATCTTGATTCTTGATTAAAAATAGCGATTTAAGACCATTTCCATTTTGCGCGTAGAAAATAAAAAGATAAAAGTGGGGATAGAGAAGAAATGTTAGATATTAAAAGGTTTTTAAAATCCAAAATTAAAAATAAAGAGATTTTACTGTATTTATTTATATTCACCTAACGCACATAAACTATAATTGATATATAATATTTATTTTTTCGGGATAAATTTAATATGTATTCCGTGAACTGGCACTAAAGTAATAGTATTTTTTACAATTATTGTCTCAGGAGTTTCCACGCATTTTATTCTCCATTTTCTGAGTATAGCCGTTAATATAATTTTCTCTTCGAGCGTAGCAAATTTTTGTCCGATACAATTTCTTGGTCCCGCGCTGAATGGTATGTAGGCGTACGGATGCATTGATTTGATGTTTTCAGGTAAAAATCGATCTGGATCGAATTTTAACGGATCTGGCCAAATTGCTGGATTTCGATGCAACAGTAATATTAAAATATGAACTCGAGTATTGTTTGGAATTGTGTAATCACCTGCAAAATAGTTGGATATATAATGTTGAATAAAATAACTATAAAATGTGATAATATGCACGTATTATATTCCATATTAAATTATTTATTTATCAACTAATAAGAAATATAAAAATGGTAGATGGTAAAATAAAATTTACACTCACGTGTAAAAATTTATACAAAATGAAACATAAATATATGATGTATTTATTTATTTATTTCGCAACAAACATCTAGCGTAAGGCTCTCATGACCGTTTAAATTTCGCGTTATATTTATAGCATTAAAAATATACTTGTGTGTATATAAGCATGTGAATTTGTTTAAAGAAAAAATTGAAAAAACTTTTCTTACCTATTTTCGTATCGTCTGACAGTTTTCTCACTATATAAGGTATAGTTGGATATAATCTGCGCGACTCTTTTATGACCCTGTCGAGATATTTTAATTGCGAGATCTCTTGTACGGTCGCTGGTTTCTGTGAATCTTTAAACACTTCTTCTAGTTCTTCGTGAATCTTTTCTTGATATTTCAGATAGTTGCCTATACAAAAGAGCGCCCAACATATCGATGTTTTCGTCGTATCATGACCCTATTATTATATGTTTTATTTTTTAAGTACGAAAGTAATGTTTATAAGGACGTTTTTTTAGAAAGAAGTTTTTGTTACATTTCAAGGCTCACCGCGAATAAGAATGTATCGACTTGTGCTCTCACTTTCTTATCGGATAATGAAGTGTTGCCATTATCTCTCAACTCTAACAGAAGATCTAAAAATACTTTCCTTCTCGACTTGTCTAAACGAGTTAAAAGTAAATAAAATAAAATATGTGTAACTTTTAATCTGTTGTAAGAAAATAAATTTTATGTGCGTAGTATTTTTTAATATAATATATTTTTGATATCCGAATTTTTTTAAATCAAAATAATATAAACTGATAATTTTAAACGTCTGTTAAGTTGGCAACTGAATATTAAATTTCCATAGTTGCTGCTTTATTTTAAAGAGAGTTGCTTATAGTTTAAAAAAAGTTCTACTAATTAACTACTTCAAAGTTGAGTTTAGAAAAATGCAATCTGAAAGATATTCGACATTTGACACTTGTGTAAAAATTTTCAGTTTGTTTGCTGGTATGAAAGTTTTCAACAGATTCTAAAATTTTGATGCATATATTTTTCAATTGATATTATGATAACTTCTGTTCCTACCTGATGCATTGTAATCATTTTGTAAATTTTCAATTTTGTCGTCCTGCATATTACGCATAAGTTTTCTTTTTTGTATTATCTGAAAATTGTAAGAAATATCTCTAAGATATTAACTAAGACTGTTTATAAATAAATCATCACAGATTAACATATGTATATCTATTATATAGCAATATGCTAACAGAGTAGCAGCAAATTCACGGAACAGATCTGGGATTATCTGTGTTTTTTTTCTTACTTCATTTGCAAAGTTATGCATATAAGTAATAACTGCTTTAGTTTCTCTTGCTATAGGAAGTAAATCATATATCGGACCTAGTGCATCTATCATCAAATAAATCCAGTTGTTTACACGCGCAAAGTAGAGGTTAAGATATCTATTAAAAAAATAATTATTACTATGTTTGTTCGATTAAAAAAAATGTATTGCTAAAATAAAAAAACTGGAATTATTTTATATATTTAACTAAAACAACATTTGAATTATAAACGAACCTGTTCAAAGCCTTTGAATATTCAGATAGAGTTTCATACGAAGTTATGCCCATTGCAGTTTCTGAAATATAATATATTTTATAGAAATATACAACTTAATTGCAAGAAATTAAATATTTGATAAATTTGATTTTAAATATTTGATATTTAAAATTACACAGTCAAGTCCAATATCTAATTTCAAGCTCTAAGTCAGTGTTAAGTAGTCAGTGTTAGCTTTCGTTCGTTTTCATATTAAAAATGTCGTGTCACAGTCATGTATCTTTGTTTTTGTATTCTGTCTGATCAAACAAAATAATTAAGAAACAACATGTCAATCAATATAAATGTCAACACAATTGCAAAACTGAGAGCATATAATTGTGTAATTGTTTAATTTCCGCTGAATTATGCGTAAATATATACATCTTTATTTTGTATCAGATTTTTTACCGAGTATTATATCGCCGGCAACTTTTGTAATATAAGGTACGATGTTGATTGCTTGTTGTGGGTTTTCTGCTAACTTTTCCTCAATATGTTTTATCATCATTTCCGTTCTTTCGGACATAGTCAAAGCAAATTGTTCCAGTATATTGAAATGAAATGTAGGAGTAAGAAGTTTCCTGTCTTTGTGCCATTGTTCACCTAAAATATGCGAAATGTATTTGCACGTAAAATGTACACGTACTAATCGTCAGTCCCTACGTACAATTACATAAGTTTCACATACGGGATTTTCAGTTTATTGCATAGTGACACTTAGAAAGTCATTTTCTTCATAGTCATCAAATATTAAAACACAATATTTATAAAAAAGATAAAAATTTGAAACCAAAAGAATCTCTTAACTAGGGAAATATGTGAAGTTTTAAACCTACGAACTGTGTTCTCCTCTACAATTTTTTTGGAGTTATGGGATTATACGTAGAGAGATACGTGACGTAATATACATAACATATATACTGATTAAAGAATTAAAGAATCTTTTAAGGCTCCGAAGTTTCCAAACTAATAAATATATATTTTCGGTCATGAGAGCCGTTCGCTAGGTGTTGTGCGGAAATTATACGTGTATATATATACATATATACGTGTTCACGTGTAAATTTTTACACGTGAAATTCGAATTGTAATAACAATTCTAAAATTCATATAGGATGTTATACTTGCATCTCGTATACAGGGTGCGTCGCCAAAATCCGGACAAATTTCAATTTGATATTCCCTCCGTTCAGTACCATTGGCAGATGTCGAAATTGGCATTCAAATAGCTTGACGCATGTACTAAACTACCATAACTTCGAAACAGTCGCAATGTTGAAACCCAGTGCGGAGTACAACCGAAGAGCCGCGATTATCGAAAGTATTCGCGCCGGGCGCTCGGCGACAGAAATCATTC